GTTGTACTAAGCTAACTATTGGTGGAATTCCCTCTTTACTTTTCTTATGGCGGAATGGTCTTCATTTTGAAAGTAAGGCTCCAACTGTTTGACTGACTTAAGACTTTGCGCTTTTAAGGTGGAATTTCTAATTGTATCGTTTCTATCTGCACTATCTTCTGAATTGACTTGATTTATCTTAAACATGATTTTTGTTAAATCCTTTCTTTTAGTTTCTCTTTTCACAAATAAATCATGAATGTAATTGACACTCATTGTCATAGTTTTCTTGTCCTATAAAACTAGTAGTCTATTATGGACGAAAAAGTTCATTTCTTTTGTTATAACAGGATTTCCCCGTTAGTTAGTACTTATTATGCGAATGTTGTTTTCTAGTGGAATTTTTTCGAACCTCAGTAGGAAAATAATGGTTTACTGTAGACAAATTTGTCCTAATTTTTCACCAAAGTGAAGGGGAATTATGTTATAGAAATGATTCATATGACATATCTATACAATTATCCGTTATCATGATGCAGTACATTGAACTGATTACAAAAATGTAAATTTGTAAATGAAATCCATTTCACATCGATAAAGTTCCCCTATCCAACTGGATAAGATTTCGAATTAGCGTAAATTTTTTCTGTCTCCTCTACATATAGTGATTCACTTCAAGTAAATAATTTTTTCTACTTACTGTCGATGCAAATAATTTTAGTAAGTAATAAAACCAAGCAACATATGTTTAGAAAGAATTTAATGAATTCATAAATTTCGATTGAACTCTTAAACTGACTACTCTAAATACTTGATTATATATACAATGATTAAATACAGTGTGATACACATACACATTTATATTTACGATAACCAATCAGGATTGGAAACATCAAGGTTTTCTGAAAACTTAAATGGATTAATTGCATCATCGTGAATGAAATACTTGATGAGCCATTAATGATGAATATTAGTGATAAATCTGCTCATTAAACAGAACAAGTTAGTAAAGAATATAGAAGAAGACAAGAATAAAATTAATTAACTAATAATGGTGACCAACAAACATTAATTAATACTAGGTGATGATCGAAGGGAGATAAAAATTTGAATCGAGTTAGCATTTAAACCAGCGACCACCGGTTTTCCGACACTGTGCTCTACCAACTGAGCCATGAGACGCAACTGCTGACGAGATTTTTATCGCACTTCAATCACCAAAAGCGCATATACCATTCATCTTGAAGAAAATTGTAGCAGCTGAACGTGAAGTAGAGAAGGCTGCTGGTTCTAATCTTGCCGCGGCCTCAATTTTCTTTTCACCTTCAATCGTCGCCCAGTATCAACCCAAGTTTGCGAAACCACGGTTACCTCAGATAATCAGACTGACAAACGTATACAGTACACTAATGTTTGTCAGTTATGGAAACTATTGACTTCATGCATAGAGAGGTAAATGATACTCTTGTTCCATCGACAAAACTGAGTCACTTATTATTTTTATCCATTAAGAATATCCAGTTTCATCTTAATGGCTAGTTGTTTCGCCAAATCAATGATGTTACAGTGAGGATTACCTTAGGCTTCAATTATGCAAACCTGTTTCTTTCGAATCTAGAGTCTGGTTCCCTGAGACAGTACACACAACACATGAGATTATATCTACGATACATAGATGATATTTTTAGTATAAATAGCGGTTAAGTGGAGGCAGAAGCAGTGTTTAAGAAATTCCACTCATGCCATCCAATTCTCATATTCGCATTCTAGAATGAAGAAAAATCATACGATCCGGTTTTTAGACGTTTTCCTCAGAAAGAAACCCTATCAAAAAATGAATATCCTGAGAGATTCATCAGCAAGTATGCCAGAATGGCGGAAGGGAAACCAGCCATCTTCACATCCAAAAATATATATGTCAATCTCCGGTTTAAAAGTGAACATGTGAATGACAGAATCAAACGGAGGATCGACGCTGCCATCACGAAAACCTACGATATGTTGCGAAACTAATGTTTCTCAGTACCGCAAAGTGGGTCTTACAACAGTCCAGGAAGGATGAAGTGCCTATTCTCGACACTTCTAACTGCGTATACATTGTTGCTTGTTTGAAACTTGTGTCAGGATAGAGATGTTTTCAAGTGATGAAACCGTCTGTGTTCATACTTTTTGAAAGTTCACATTTTCTAGATGAAGCATTTCATGAATCGCTTCGTGGTTTCCAATTTCTTTATATGATTGCAATACACATTATCTCCTCTCTTGGTTCCTGTAGTTATCAGTGTTGTTATTCAGCTTGTTAGACTGACATAGTCTTTCAGATGACTGTTTGTTCGAGTAACCTTATAGACAACCCAGTAACTGCTGAAATAACTAGTCAGACTTCAATATTCTGGCTAGGAAGGTAGCTTTTCATAAAGTAGCAGAGCGCGATTGATTACCTCAGCAGTCGTTAGAGTGCCCTTTAATGTTACTCGTTTTTTTCCACATATGAGTGTTTTATAAAAGTGCCCGTTTTAATCACTTGTGCTGTTGACATTTGCACATTGAAATTCTTTGTTTATATGTGCTGGCAAATGAAAAAACATGACGGTATAAAATATATCACTATTTTCTATCTATAAACTTTTATTAAAATCCAATGTAACGGCATCATAAATTATATTGCTCTGAGTAATGTCAAGGACATTATTTATAAGTGTGTGTTCAAAACTCTATCATGCATATCATGTCTATCATGCATAAATCGCCTCTCCTGGCCGGTTTGTTCTAGCTTTTTCAGACAAATAGCCGAAATTAAGACATCAAAGTTGCACAAATATGAGCGTAAAATGTTGCACTGAACAGTAGTTCAATAATCATACTGACCCCATTGTTTTTTAACTAACGTGATCATGAATCATTTGATGTAAACTGGGTTTAAATGACGTTCATGTGCACTGTTGTGTACTTTCGTGAACGCTTTAGGTGCAGGTAAGATGAAATCCTGTTAGTCATTGTAGAAAGCATTTGTACTTTTTAAATGGCAATCGGGATATCTGCACAAACCGTTGGGCGACGAGATTTTCACCAATATGCAACACGTCTCGGATGAGAAAATGTCATCAATTTAAAAGCTGTAAGTGACTGAGGCAATGTCTTGGGAATGAAAGTAGAAACTGATATTTCGTTTGATAACTGTCTGCCAAGGAGAGACTAACTGTACTCTATTCAAAAAACTGGAATTTGTCCACTTTTTTTAACACGTGTTTCTAGTTAGTTTTTGTTTTATGAGACAAAGCCTCTTGACAGAAATTTGATATGTTTAAAATCAATTTTATTCTCGTATTTTCTAGTCAATAAATTGCGACCACTAATCTCTCTACTTTTGTCATCTGAAGTTTTAGTTATCTTATAAATCGTGTTTATATTTTTGCATCCTAATATCGACCATCTGAATGACTGCCTCTCGTGCACCATATGACACTCGGAACGTCTTGTCTTGTAAAACGTTTTTCGGTTCTTCCTGCAGTGACTGTTACTTCGATATCAGTAAGGCTGAACTCACATCGTTAACTTATTGGTTAGAACTATAAATAACCACATTGCAGCTGAAACCTCAAAAACTGTCTCTGAAGATCCTTTGAGAAAGAAATTTCACTCTTAGTCTAAGAATCACAGAATACTGCTTTTAACCACCTTAATGTGCACCTATCCAGTTTACTTGTTCATAAGAACTAGCATACATTGGTCGTACACAGTACCAGTTCTGTAAAAATACTTCGGAATATCATTCACTTTGTTCATCTAAAGGTCTGGAAAAGATTTCAACAGTTCTATTCTTGAACACCTCGTTATCTCCGAACACCTGGTCTCTCACAGAATTTCCTGCGAAGTACTCTATAGAGTGCCCTCCCTCAAAACTACAGAGGAATAACTTCGTCATCTATGCTTAGCCAAACGATGATCAATCTTTGACCTTATCTTTGTTTTTGATAGCTTTACGTGTACTAATAAGCCTTATCAAAGCCCTAGTAGGAATTCCCTTCTGTTTTTATAAACGATTTTTGTCCTGCTCTTAAACACTTGCCGAAATCACATGATCCTACTGTCATCTATTTCCGTGACTATAAATATCATTATACAGCCTTACTAAATGAAATCCGCAGAAAGAAAATTTTCTTCTAGAAATGTCAGTATGTAAGGCATCTGTCATGTGGTCGATAAAAGTTAAACCTCTTTATTAATTCCATAGCTAAACATTGTTTCATTCTTCATGTAAGTTACTACCTTTTTTTCGCTCGGTGCTTACCTCCTCATTCTTCATACTTGAAAACCTACAAGATTTTCTTTATTTTATCCAGTACATTATGATATTTCACATCATAATGCCTAACAGTAGACTTAAATCTATAACATTGTGAAAAACTCATGTTCATTTTACATACATCGCATTCGACCAACACCGCATACTTAAGGTCCACTTCGTATCAAATATTACTTTCTCCAAACTTATGAAAACCTACAGATTATTTCTTTTGAGAGTAATCTGTTTAAAAAATCTACAGTGGGCAATAACATGTACATTTATAATACTAAAGAAGCTGAAAAATGTTAGGCGATTGTTTGTTTCCAAACCTTCTTGTATCAACAATAGTAAGTGGGTGATAAGTATTGTATCAAAAATGATAATTCAGTAAAACACTTAGTTTAACACATTCTACTTATTGGCGTAGGATAATCTAGTTGGAATACAATGATGAGGAATTTTTCCTCTTGAAGTAAAACATTTTCTTTTCACAAGGCTATTTATCTATCTATCACTGATAAACAGTCTTAAATGGAGGTACAATTTATCACATCTTTAAAAACATGATAAGTTCTGAATAACTTCTGCCTCGATATTAATAGTATGTTTCTTGGAATAAGTTAACTTTTTCTGATCTAATATAATATGCTTTTCATTGACCGGTTTTGTTATTACTTAACAGTTTGGTAAAATTCTCAAAGATTCTTTTCTGCTACTATTCTGTGTATTTCAGATAGCCACCCTTGTAAATATGTGGTATGGTGAAACACAAAAGTATGTAGAGGCCACATTCAGTCTAGCTGAAAAAATACAACCAACTATTATATTTATAGATGAATTAGGTAAGTGAGATATTTTCGAAGTATTTTCTGCATTTTGACAGTGCCTGCGTTAATAAGGTTGGATCGTTTTTATTCGGTAAATATATCTAATCCCTATGAAAATAATCAATTTTATTTAATTAAACAGAAAATATGAGATTTTAGGGTTCATTGTTTCTAATATTTTATTGAATTATATCTAGAAATGTGAGAGTATCGAAGTATAACATTGATTGGTCAACATAATATTGCCTATTCCTAAGTTGTTGTTTATCCGCCTCACTCAACAACTATATGAAGACGCCACATGCCAAGTAATTCACAATGGGGAGCTCAGTGATGCTTTTGAAGTGAAGACAGGAGTGAACAAGATCGCCTACTATCCCCCATGATATTCCTGATTGTGGTCGACTGGATCATGCAACAAACAGTGAGGAGCGAGAAGAGGGGGATACGCTGGACCGCAGAAAACAATCTAGAAGATCTGGATTTCGCCGATGACTTGTGCCTGATGTCACACAAACTTGAAGATCTACAGGCGAAAACTAACAAGTTGATAGAAGAGGAAGCGAAGACGGGAGTTCAAGTGAATATAGAGAAGACAGAAGTGATGAAGATACCCAACCAACAACAACAACAACAACAAACTCTAATCACCATCAACAGGAGAAACTTGAAGGAAGTAACCTCCTTCACCTATCTAGGAAGCACTGTTTCAACTACAGATGCCACAGGCACAGACGAGGATGTCAAAGTCAGAATGGGAAAAGCAAGACAGGCTTTCATTGACCTGAAACCAGTGTGGAGATCTTCTGCATTCAGCATGTGGAACAATATCCGGATTTTCAACACCAACGTCAAGTCAGTGCTTCTGTATGGTTCAGAGACTTGGCGCGTTACGAAAGGGATTTCCAATAAACAACAGACATTCATCAACAACTACTTACGCTCGCTATTGAAGATCAGATGGCCAGACTGACAGGAATAAGCAACAAGGAGCTCTGGGAACGAACCTGTCACCCAACAAATATGCAGAAGGAAGTGGAGATGGATTGGGCATGCACTGAGAAGGTCGAGTGGGGACATCACGCTTTGGGCCCTCGAGTGGAATCCCCATGGGAAGTGAAGAGTTGGACGTCCGAGGGTGACATGGAGAAGATCGTGCGAGGAGAAAATGAGAGGTTGTGGGTTGTCGTGGAGCTAGGTTCAAAATATTTCAGAGAAGAGAGTGGAATGGAACGTGCTACTGAAGCTTTATGTTCCATTAGGAACCCAAGGGACTAATAATAATAATATTCCTAAGTTGTAACGTAATCTACCGATCAAGTGTACAATATGGTCACTAAAGCAAAAGACTCATTAGTAGTAAACCCTTGGAATGCAAAACTTGGAGGTGCTAATTTGGGTCTCGTTGACGAGTATAATTTTTCTTCGAAGTTACAAATGCGCTCACTTTACATGTGCTAGCAATCAGAAAACTTAGTCCAAGCAGGGTTGCATGCAGCCTTCTTATACAATTTTGCTTATTAACATTCTCATTTGCTCGGATTTATAGATTGTCGAGGTTATAAAAGTGTGTGTTGAAGAAATTTGACAAAGGAGTAAATAGAACGGGGACTTTTTACATAATCTAGCTCATACTCCGGATTTATAGGTACCTTCATACAGTATCATAACTTCTACATTAATAAGTGGTGCTGTGAATTATTTCATTTTTGTGTAATAGTTCTTCGGTGGTTAAAATACATCCATGAATGCTGACGAGGAATTCACATAACACATAAGAATTTACTGTTAAAAATCTATTACCTATTTGCTGTATTTAGGTCAACTTAAATTGACACCTAGAAGGCTGTCAGTAGAGTATAAACTGTAATAATTTATTTGCGACTTGTAATTATGCATCACTTTCGAGAATCGTATTCATAGTTAGATTAATGGCATGTTGTCAGCAGTTCGGTGCAAGGTGCAATAGGTACAAATAACTTTCTGTAAAACTACATGTCATGAAAATATCGAGAAAACAATTGAACTACAGGTAGGAAGATGAACATATTAGATAAGATTTTATTCGTTTTTCTTAAAGCAACACTGTACATTACCAATGTTTGTGCAGTATAATGCCACACGCTTGACAGATCGAAAATAAGACTTTTAGAATATTCATCCATTGGTGATAATTGTAAGAGCAGTTGCATTCAAAGACTAGGATATGTGTGCTTTTCCTAAAGTTGTGTTTTTAATCAATTTTTACTTCAGCCTTCTGTGTTTCGAGCATAACATTAGTTCATTCGGTGTAGCACACAGTGATAATTTTTTTTTAAACTACTTCATCGCTATGTGGTATAGCAAATGAACTGATCTAATATGGAATTACAGTCTACTGTATTGCCTAAGTTCCATGCTCTGATTGTCAGTACGTTGTCATCTTATGTGATGTTTGTCGTCTTCACGAGATATGAAATCATTCGTTTCCTCAACTTTTGGACCAGAAAATTGAAGCTTTGTTACTAACAGCCGACCCACATTTCCACCCAACTTTGGAAGACAAAACAAACATCTTCAAAATATTTCTCATGTTACTGAATCGAATTGCTTACATCTGATGTATGATACGATACCTCATCAGTTAACTCCAGTTGGTGACATTGTAAACTTTTGCGTGTGTATTTTTATTGCACGAAAAATAGTTAATTTCTTTTTGTTCTGCATAAAATATTGATAAATAGAATCTTTTCTCTATTCTTTATGATCTTAAAGAACTGTTTCAGTGTGGTCTCAGAGCTCTATGTTACTTATAAAGGATTACATCAGATGGTTCCCAGCACTACAGCAGTTTTAATACATTTTTATTTTTGTCGTGACTTGTTTATAATTGTTACTGGTATTCTAGGTGATATCATTAGGTTTATTGGAGCACTGCTGCCATATGCGAGCAGCGTCGAAGTAGTGTAAAGTGCTAAGCAAGGAAGGCGATAAGGTTGTGAACCTCAATCAACTGAAATAGTTTAGACATGTATTTCACATGTCGAGGGACCACCTACCTTGATGTACGACTGTAGCTGAAATATGTTTGGGTTGGAAGAGAGCTCGAGCTTTCTGGAACAAAACATGGTAATACTAGACTCTATTTATCGAGAGAACTAATGGCAATGTTTCTCAATGAAATGGGTGCGGAGTAATTACATCATTCTGTTAATGGCTTCTTATTCAAACACCTGTGGGCTTGTGAGTGCCTATTGGTTTAGTAGTAGGTTTAGACCTGTTGAGTGAAGAGGCTGAAAAAAATGCAAAGCGTTCTGAACACTGAAAGGTAGCTGGGGAATGCTGAAGATGCATTTCTCTTCATTCAAATGCAGTTAAATCTACGTAGAGTTTGTCCATTATGGACTAACTGACTAACCAACTTGAATATCTGACCTAAATGGGTGGACTCTCAGCTTCTCTGCATGTATTCTGTAAATCCCAAAATGTTATTCTGCCATCCAACTTTAATCGTGTTAAAAGTATTATTGGTCAACTTTTGGGGGCTTTCTAGTTAATTATTTTTGATGATGCTTAATGTATATCTCCTAAACACATACGTATATTAATTCTATTGATCAAATTTTCCGAAACTAGATATTTCTTATCTGATTCATTCTTATCAGTTTGCAGTCATAAAAAAACTGTTGTTGATGAACTAGGCTTGAAAACACAAGTAATTAGATAAGAAATCAGTTTTGCAGCTAGATTATCTTATAGTGCACACAACCGTGTTAGCAGTTTACTCCTAAAGTTCATAATGTTGACCACCTATGTATGAATATTACTTCTGATATGGTTAGTTTCATGCACTAAAATGCTTTGATAATACTTTATCCTCGTAGATTCATTCTTAACCACACGTTCTCAAATGGATAATGAAGCCACACGGATGATAAAAACTCAGTTTATGGCTTTGTGGGATGGATTATTAACACAGGACAATACACAAATAATAATTGTTGGCGCAACAAATAGACCTGGAGACTTAGATCAAGCAATATTACGACGTCTGCCGTATAAGGTAAATTTATGCATAGTATTATAGTTATTTTGTCATCTGAGTTTCTATTATCACCAAATCGCCTGCTTATTTCGCAGCAGCTGTTTAAATTAATTACTGTTCGAGATGAGATGAAATCCTATCGTTTCTCTCATTAATTGTAATACTCAGTGTTACCTACAGACGCTAGTATTTAACTCTACTCTGTTAATAGATACAAGCATATTCAAACTAGTTTCATCAACCAGTAACAGTGGTTAACGAGATCAGTATAACCTAAACATTCATTTATAACCTAGTCGGTCAATGATTTGCCTTGATTACTTTAAACTTCAAACATGCCCAGTTTGCTTTACTTACAGCATTATGCAAAGTCTTATTACTAATATAATTGTTTTGTTTCGCAGATAAAAGTTCCACTTCCTAATACAAACCAGAGAAATCATATTCTGAAAGTACTGCTTAAAGATGATCAAGTTGCTAAAGCACTCTCTGAAGATGATCTTAAACAGATTGCTGACAAAACTGAAGGCCTTTCTGGAAATGATTTATCTGAATTATGTCGCGAAGCAGCTTTTATTTGTCTGCGGTCTCTTCGTACAGGTGATGTGTAAGTTCACTTCATCGTTTTGCTTATTCGTTGAAATCGAGTGTCCGAAAACATACAGTAAATATTTTAGTCGTAGCTGGTGTGTTCCTTCAATATGTCCAGTTTATTATTGATATTATTTTCGGAATATCGTTTTTCCTAATTTTAAGATTACAGCCTCCTCGATTACTAAACATCTTGTAATAGTTTTCTAACTGCTAGTTTGAACCTCACCGACAAACGAACCAACGTAGAACTGATGGAAACGAAAAGACAGACAGGAGGAATGTTTATTATTAACATATTGTACAGTAGTCATCAAAGATTGTACACCTTGCACAAAGACACTCATTTGCGTAATTTGCTTCATTTCCTCTTCTGCTTCTATCTTGATTTGCTCTTAATACGCCCACATTATTTCTTGCTTTTTTATGGGCAGAATCCGTACCCATTGCTGGTAATTGTCGCCTCTCAACATATGCTACTTATATCCATTCTGATCAGCAACGCCCACTACAGAACCACTTACAGAAGTGCACTCGTTCAAGTTGCTACATTTCACAGAAGCATACAAGTCAGACGGAGAAGCAATATCAACAGAGGACCTAGCATTATTGCACAGCTGTCCACTGGGCCACATTTTATTTCAGCACATCAAACGCGAATGTACTATGATGAAAAGTAAAGAAATGGAGAAGAAAACATTCGAAAGTAATATAAAGCTATGAAAAGAGAGCGAATATGAATGAGATAATACTGAATCTAGCATGATGATTCGAATAAAGGTAATATGTGGTTACATACGCGCTGTCGAGATCATTCTGAGCCGTATCACGTAGTCTCCAAATACTTGTTTCTATTGTCACGCCTGGTCCACTAGTTACTAGCCGGTCCAAAGCCCGGATGAAGAGGGAAGGTTGGGCGTAGGGCTAGCAACTGTACCCCGGAAAACCAATCCAATTGCTAAAGAAACTTCGAAGCACAAATAAAATATAAAAAATAAAAACGGACTCATTCCTCCCCGGAATCGGAGAGACGAAATGACTCTGGTTGGTGAAAGCCTTCGGGAAGCCAGTTGACCGATGTGTCTTCTCTCGATGAAAGCGAGAGTAAAGATGAAGACATGGGATGTCCGCATCATGTATGAACCTTGCAAGGAAGGTCACAATCATACAATGCTACGCTACGCACCTACAAATAATGCAGAGCAAAAGAAGAAGGAGGAATTCTACAGACAACTGCAATCAACACTGGACGAGACCCCACCCAGTTGGCGATATAAAAATTCTAATGGGCACATGAATGCCAAACTGGGAGGGGACAACACAGGAAGAGAACTAACCATGGGCCGAGAAGCGCTAGGTGAAATGAACGGGAATGCAGAATTGTTTGCAGAATTCTGTGCATTCAACGGTTTGGTGATTGGAGTCAGACAGTGTGTTCAAGCACAAGGATATTCACAAGGCAGGGACATAGATTTTACCAGACACCACACCAGGACACACTAAAAATCAGATGGCTTCATCTCAATGTGAAGAAAATGGAAACTCAGTCTACTGGACACAGGATCACAAAAAGGAGCAGATGTGGATTCACACCACTTGCTATCTAGTGCAAGGAACCTACATTCAAAATCAAGTTGAAAGCATTTGAACAAAAAGTTGATGATAGACTACAGTTCAAGTTCACCACCCAGAAACTGAGGGACAAAACTAAGAAGGACATCTTCACATCAGTCAGCCATCAGAACAAAATGGGAGACAATGAGCAATATCCCTGAAGGGTCGCGCGTGGAACAACACTGGAACTCTTTGAAAGCTATGTGGAAAGAAACTTGCTTAACCGTACTAGGAAGGAAGAAGAAAAGGCAAGACAAGGAATGGATCTCAATGGACACATGGAAGCTGATAGAGCAGGGAGAGGAAGATGGTGAATCAATGCAGTCCAGTGCAGTGCAGTGCAGCGATGAACTACAAAAAGACGAACTGATCATAACATATAAAACACTACACTGAACAAAGAAGTGAAGAAGAGTGCACCCAAAGACAAAAGACACTTCTACGACACACTGAAAAGTGAAGCACAACAGGCTGCAGGTAGGAGAGACAAAGACCTGATAACATTATATCAAATAACCAGGTTACTTACTCTTCGGGAGGAAAGAGATCAACTCAGATGAAACCAATGAAAGATAGTGAAGGAAACCCGGTTACCAAAGTGGAGAAACAAAAGAAACGATGGCTGACCACTTCAAAAAACTATCCAATCGACCACCATCACCAACTTTAACTCGTCCAGAAATACCACCAGCAGCTCAGACACAGAACTAACAGTGAACACAAGCCTTCCGACAAAAGATGAATTAAATTCCTGAACGCCATAAAGCTGCTGAAATTCGGGAAAGCAGCAGTACCAAATGGAATCCATCCAGAAGCACTGAAAACTGAAGCAGAGACAACAGCAGCGCACATGCTAACACCACACCACACCACACCACTACTGCAGAAGGTTTGGAAGGAAGGAGGCAAAGGTAACTGCCTGTCGGTTGGAAGAAGGGCTACCTGGTCAAACTCCCAAAGAAGGAGACCTAAGTGTTTGCAAGAACTGGAGCGGAATCATGCTCCTGTCCCTGTCCACTCAAGCAAAATATTATGCCGCATCATCCTGGAGAGACTGAAAAATGCTCTCGACCAGGAACAGTTTGCTGGCTGACTTCAGGAGAAACAAATCATATGCGGATCAGTTGCTATCCATCATCGTAGTACAAAACACTTCAACTTTGTCGACTTTGAAAAGGTTTCGACGGCGTCGATCGAAAAGTAATTTGACAGCAGCTTCAACACTACGGTTTTAGTGCCATAAACCTTTATCGGCCTTACTGAAAAGCTATATGAAGACGCCACATGCTAAGTGATCCACAATGGAAAGCTCAGTGACGCCTTCGAAGTGAAGACATGATTAAGACAAGCCTACCGCCTACTATCACCGATGTCCTTCCTGATTGTGGTCGACTGGACTGAACTGGACCATGCAAGAAACTACGAGGAGCGAGAAGATGGGCATACGCTGACTGGACCGATGGAAGGACCCCAGGAGAAGATTTTGATTTCGCTGATGATGATTTGTGTCTAATGTCTTATCGCACAAACTCGAAGATCCAAAGGCAGAAACTGACAAGTTGACAGAAGAGGCAGCTCAGCGAAGACAGGACTTCAAGTGAGTATGGAGAAGACAGAGGTGATGAAGATACCCCCAACCAGCAACAGCATCAACAACAAGCACCAATCATCATTAACGGGGGCAAGGAACTCTTGCCGCCAACTAACCAACGAAGAATCTATCACCCAACAGATATGCAGAAGAAAGTGGAGATGGATTGGGCATACACTGAGAAGACCGTTCGGGCGCTAGGCCCTCGAGTGGAATCGAAAGGGGAAACGACGAGTTGGGCGTTCATCTCAGGGTGACATGGAAGAGATCATGTGAGGAAGAAATGGAAGCTTGTGGGTAGCTGTGAAGCCTGATTCAAAAGACTGTTGAGAACAGAGTGAAATAGAGATGTTACTGAAGCCGTGTGTTCCACTAGGAATGCAAGGGAAAAATAATGATAATAATAATTGTCACGCAGATCCCAGCTGGTAGTTCTACATTTTCCCACATGGTGGAGACGAACAGTCACAGATTTCACGCAGTGATGCCACTTTTTAGTCTGGCCGCCCCTAACCTTTTCCTAGTCTGAATCTACTTCAGGTAACAATGTGCTACTGGGCATGCATAACACATATCCCAGTCCATGATGGGTCACAACTTTATCACTTGATTTTCCTCTTCCCCCTCGAACGCCACACCTAACTTCTACGTTACTGATATGATGACACCATGACACGTGGGATATGCTAAGAAGACAAACGCAAGCAGAAAGGGGTTGATATGCAAGGTAAATAAATGTGTACAACACAAGACCGAATAAGCACTTAAAAGTTATCGAAAATATTCAAGAATTGAGAGATGACAAAGAATGCATGCATCTGTGCCATCAATACCAGTTTTCATCTATTTCACCAGCCATTGATTCATATCATCTCGGTGACAGCCCCTAGAACGTAACGTCTCATAATAACAGCCAAATTCGAATTTCGCATGCACACAGATTTTTTGACGGTATATGTATCATATAATACCCGTGATGGTTGTGTAACCCAAGTCTCATTGACACTCGTGCGCACACGATTATGTGTCCACTTGTACCTTGTTCTTTCTACTCCTTTTCGTTACTCATAGTGTACTGTATATACTACTGACTAGGGTGGTTTTAAACGAGTATACCGATATGTTGCACTCCCTAGCTTGACTGACGCTGTTTTGTCGGTTTAAGGTTGAGCTCATCAATGTTGTGTCCTAGATGATTGTTAAAATAAATCGATAAAACTGATTACCTGCTTTAGCAGACTAGTGATATCTACAATCTTAAGCTTCATTGCAAACGAGTATAATAGTAAAACTTAGACACTGTGGTAGAGTAAAATTCCATACTAGATTGTATATTTGATATGGCACACAATGATCCAGTAAATAGTACTGTATCCATTGTATGCCATTTCAAATATACTAACTAATATGGAATTTACGTGGTGTGTAGTCCATCTCAATCTATTTAGTAAGTGCTAATAATCGATTTTCGCGATGTGTCAGTACTATAAATCGCGTACACGTTTTTCCTTTATGCTATTTTCGGTGTCAAACGGACGATGCCTAATGGTCAGATTACTTTTTCTTAAATTTCAATATTGGGTCACACTCTGTCTTGTTCTCATTCGATACTAAGAGACTGGCAGAAACTTGATTTCGAACTAATGTATTAAGACCTTCACCGCTACCTTAGTTTCTTTTAGATTGGTTGTTCTGAAAAATAGTGTCTGGTTTTGCTTGTCATCACTAGAATTCTCACTTCAGTTATATTCTAACTTGTAGGAGTAGTTTTATGATTTATTCACGGACTCCTGAATAAATCAACTTTTGTCTTATGATTTTTGACACTTCATAATTTCAGGCTACCAAACTTGTTTGGGGCATTTTTCACTATCGAAGATAGCTGCTTTAATATCATATTTAAAGTTATATGGAGCCTAGTGATCTTTGCTGAGGAATTATAATTGAATTCTCACTGGCGTTTGCCTATAGATGTCACTCAATAAGCAGTGATTGTTAGATGACCAATGTACCAATCGTTATGATAATAAAAAGAAGCAAATATTGTATAATGGTAACAATATAAACCCTCCTTTCAATCATCCCATCCATTTACGGTCACTTTATGTGTGAATACGTCCAAGGCGCTAAACATACCGGATAAATCCTTCGGATTTTTGAAGTTCAAGACAGATGAATCTGAGTGGTTCGGGATTTTTGGAGATGTTATCTATCACTTTTGACTTTTATGGCTCTACTTTTTTTTTCACTTCATGGGTGAGCAGTGCAACTCCGAGCGCTTACCCGGGATTTGAATGAAACTATCCACTTAAACTTTCCCAAATTATGTGTTCGTTTAATGTCATTTCGGTAACTAACATTTTCTGAGAATAATGTTAGCGCCTAATTACAACGTTATCGCATTGGGTGTCAAGTGTGCAATGAATCAGCATTTCAAAGTGTCTTCTAGAAATCTTAAGACGTGAAACTTCGAACCTCAGGCCATTTTATTCAGCTTAACACGACCGAACTGCCTTTATCATCCTATAGAGCATATTTGCACTAAAACTGCATATTATCTTAGTTAAAATGCAGTTTGATTATAAAAAAGATCAGTTGCGAGTGATAAGTAGTAACCTCTCTGATCGGATGAAGAAAATTCAGTAATCCGACAATATGTGAGTTTTCTTGAGGCAACCAATGATATCAACGAGAAGATAAGGTATGGATAGAAAATTTTGTCACCTACCTGCTAACGCATAACACCGAACGTTTTCTGGAAGTATTTATGGAATATGGACAATAAATTGTGTCCGAAACGTTATCCAGTAAATGCTACTGTTTCACTGTGCGATATTTTTAATAAACAGACTAAAAATGGAAGTATATATATTGTTCATTTATAAAGCCTGCATGTATACTATCTTATGCTATTTTGGTATTTTTACAGGCAAACTGATTTGATGCTCACTGTAGATCACTTTACACAAGCCCTTCAAAAATATATGAATCATAGAATCAAACCTGAACCTGTGGACAGTGTAAGTTTTTTCTCCTTGGATTGAATATCAATTACTAGTTTCACGTTCAATTTTTCCTTGACATTTACATTTTAAAGTTACAGATTATTTACTTTGTTCGTTACTTATTGTTTTCTTTTGAAAGTTTCTGTTCTGAAAAGTATTGTGCAATTTTTTCTGTTATTAACATGTATTCCCTGTAAGCGTCCGAATGTGAATAAATGGAAAATATTTGTTGAGTTTCTTTCGAATAAATTGCATTCATGATATATATATATATATATATATATATATATATATATATATATATATATATATATATATATGAAGCAAAACTTTATCGTTCCGCTATTTCACTTAAATAGGAGCTTTTAATGATAAATAAATTACTTTGAACTGTATTTTCTTCTGTATTATGCTTTATTAATACCGTATCTCTATGAGTTGGTCACCAAATAGTAACCGGTGTTACACTTAAATATCTTTCTTTCCACGCTAAAACTGCTCAGTATGAGGTAGCATATGTTCATATTTCCAAGGAAGCTTGGGTTTTTTATATATACAGATGCATTTTTCTGATGAGTTTCAGTGTGTGGAATTCGGATCATATGCTTCAGCAGATTACCATCATTCGTGACATTTCACATTCATTTTAACCTACCGAATATGCTTTATAGTATGTAAAATTCGATCATTGTGTGTCAGCGAAAGTATTTCGTTCTGTTATCTTTTGAACTTTAGTTTGCTTAGGTAATACTGGGGTGAAGATATAAAAATCTTTTATTTTGATTCCTTATGGTCTAGATTTTTAAGTCGGTTTTCACCTTCAGTAAAGATAGGGTCATATGAACGAATAGCTTTTAGTGCACTATTTTCTACTCCTTATCGAGAATATACTTTTCAGAGCTTAATTAATTTTTATCTAGATTGATTTCGTAGGATGACTTTACTCTTTGCATCACTCTAATCACCGTCGCACTTCCCCCTGTTTTCTGGTCAAAGGCGTTGTAATTATATCACTGAAATTTGGTTCAAAACTTTTTTTGTCATCATTTGGATACCTACTCTCATAAATATTTGTACTAATTCCGTGTTTATTCATTGTAAACAAGTTTGTGTACAACACAAGCCGCTGCGCTTTATAGCTTCGCATACTGAGAGGTATTGTGTAAATATTTGGAAACGTAACGTCATGTTAAATAGCATACACTATACCAGAATGGAAAGCTCAGTGACGCCTTCGAAGTGAAGACATGATTAAGACAAGCCTACCGCCTACTATCACCGATGTCCTTCCTGATTGTGGTCGACTGGACTGAACTGGACCATGCAAGAAACTACGAGGAGCGAGAAGATGGGCATACGCTGACTGGACCGATGGAAGGACCCCAGGAGAAGATTTTGATTTCGCTGATGATGATTTGTGTCTAATGTCTTATCGCACAAACTCGAAGATCCAAAGGCAGAAACTGACAAGTTGACAGAAGAGGCAGCTCAGCGAAGACAGGACTTCAAGTGAGTATGGAGAAGACAGAGGTGATGAAGATACCCCCAACCAGCAACAGCATCAACAACAAGCACCAATCATCATTAACGGGGGCAAGGAACTCTTGCCCGCCAACTAACCAACGAAGAATCTATCACCCAACAGATATGCAGAAGAAAGTGGAGATGGATTGGGCATACACTGAGAAGACCGTTCGGGCGCTAGGCCCTCGAGTGGAATCGAAAGGGGAAACGACGAGTTGGGCGTTCATCTCACCTACCACCTAGGTAGCATTATTTCAACTACAGACGAGGATGTCAAAACCAGGATCGGAAAAGCAAGACAGGCTTTCATTAATCTGAAATCAGTGTAGAGATCTACTGCATTCAGCACAAAGAATGAGATCCGGATTTTCAACACTAACTCAGTCAAGTCAGTGCTTCTATGTGATGGTTCACAGACTTGGAGCATCACGAAAAGCATTTCCAACAAACTACAAACATACACCACATCAACAACTGCCGCCTACGCTCACTCGATACTGAAGATGGAGATCAGATGGCCAGAATAATAAGAATAAGCAACAATAAGCAACTCTGATTAGGCAACGAACCAACCAAGAACCCATCGCCCAACAGATATGCAGAAGAAAGTGGAGATGGATTGGACGTACACTGAGAAGACTGATTGGGGGCATCACGTGCCAGGCCAGACCCTCGAGTGGAATCGAAAGGGGAAACGACGAGTTGGTCGTCCGAGAGTGACATGGAGGAGATAGAGCGGGTAAGAAATGAAAACTTGTAGGCAGTGGTGGAGCGTGGTTGAAAAGACTGCAGAGAACAGAGTGAACTCACTACGTTCTACTGGAGCCCTATGCTCCACTAGGAATCCAAGGGACAAATAATCATAAAATAACACAATTCAACACATCTGTTGGGTATAACAAGCAATAGGTAAGTTAGTATTACATGACCATTCAAGCAAAAACTGCTATTAACAGTTGCCCTTAAGAAACATAAGTAGGGTTTCATGTGAAATGTCAGTAATCGAATTTCAATCAACAGCATTACCATGAGTGAGTTAGGAAGAAAAGGACATGTATTGGTTCAAGTCAGAAATATTAAGCCCTCCACTTGGTTTCACAATTTAAAAGGTTTTAGTTACTTCGAGGACTGACCGGACTATTTACTATCCCTAAATGTTTTCTGCAGACGGGTTTCTTCATCGCTCCTTAATTGAAGTACGTTCACTAACCCATTGCTTATGAGTGTTACCGTAGATTATTCCCCATTGGTTTGAACACTCTATTTTTAATGTAAGCATTTCAGATTGAAAGTCTACTGAGGCCTTGACGACCAAGTGGTATCATAAGCATATAATTTATATAAATCTGTACCGCGTTATGACTATTAAGTGAACGCATCTTACTTATCCATTAGGTTTTAGTTGTTCCTAATTTAATTAGCGCAAAATCTGGTGCAGAATAGTATGAGCAATTTCTTCTCAGTTGCCTATAACCTAGGCAATATTAAAATGTATGCTTTCAAAATTCTCGCTTTCATCAAGTTGATAAGATACTTATGGAAACAAGAAGTAACATAATTTCAGGATCTCGTAGACTGGTTGAAAAGAGAAACCTGTGAAACATGTTAATTATTCATAGGTGAATATTGTTTACATTAGTGTCTAGTACACATTTATAAAACTATTTAAATTCTTTTTAGTCAAGAAAAAGTCAAAATGGTTGTTAGTAAACAGTTAGAATTTTAATTTTGTTCCCAAGCGATCTTGTCGCAAATAATCAACTCTTAAAGACAAACCTAATAGATCAGTCAAAATCTGTCAGGTTTTTTTTCGGAGCTTCGATATTTGGTCGTGAGTACTTCATCACTAGTCTTTGTGACTTCATATAGAGGTAGAAAAGTTTATGTAGAACATTTTCAGTTTACTTCTAATTACTGGAGTTTGGAGAACACGAAACTAATTTCATCCTTAGTTTCATATCTTGGGTACTCTAACAACATATGAAGGAAACAATTATTTAAGGATGAAATTAAATCATTTGAAATTGATTGTGCAGGCAGGAGAAGAGGAGCTAAAAGATAAATAAAAATATGTGTGACAGAGAAATTGGTACTGTGTTATCTGTATTCTGAAAAGCGATTATATGGTTCAGTGTTTGTCACATACACTGTGAAATGTTTAAGATCCCTTGCGAATCAACTTTTGGAACATCAATGTAAATGACTTACATTATGGTGGTTAAAACTTTCAATGCAAGAGTTGAATTCGGGGATTCACTGATATAGTGTCAAAGAGAAATTAAAATCCTGTCAGCGGTCGCGTCCCCGTAGCCCAGTTGGTAGAGCACTTGACTGGAAGCCCGGTGGTTGCGACTCAAACTTTCATATCACCTTCAATCATCAGCTTGTAAACTGGATGTTCTTTCGAGAATATTTTGTTGCTCATGATTAAATCAAAGTGATCACAGCTTTCTGGTCTGGTTAGCTACATACTGACGAAATCTTAGGATCAGAACAGAATGACCGCTTGACATATCCGAACATGCACTGGGGTGATATCTGGCTGTCTATCAAATGATTTTACTATATAGCAGTTCGGTGTATCCCACTGTACAGCTGTGAATCATGGTCGTTGGAAGTGGAAACTATGAGAAGTTCAAGTGTTTTTAATTACTGATATTTTCTTAGTGTTGCTTACTTATGGTAGAACCAAAGAGAGAGCAATCTTGAGACTCGGTTCAGAGTATCTATTCTGGTTAAAATTCGTTGTACACTGTCTGCCTTGATAAGCAACGTTTATTGAAGTAATATTTGGTTGGCAGAATACTAACGGATGTCAGGATAGGACGTGGAGCTAGTTCATGAAGTCACTGACTGTTGGTATGAGGAGCGTAAGAGGGTTTCGATTGCTTGACTGGGATCTTGAGATGTTTAGAAGGCAATCGTTTAACATGTTCGGTGATCGATGACAGTCGTACAAATGTATTAACTGTCATAATCGAAATCATTTTTTTTTCATCCCTTCTCCTCCCGCGCACTTTTTGTTTGCGTTATTATCATTCTTTGTTTTTTTTCACTTTCTTCTTGTGTGGCTACCTGAATCTTTGTTCTCTGCCTAGATCAGTCAATTTCTCATTGTCCATGTGATGAACAAACGGCAAGTGATAAAAAATGGAGTAGGAGGAGAAATACTGGAAAATGTCTCCTCTAGATACTTGCATATGACGTAATTCAAATGGTCTGTATTCAGTGTCATGGCTCACTTCCGAATACATGACGACGTAGACCTACTAACCAACTTATTCGATCAAATAATTTAAAAATTTCCAGCAGATATATTTTTAAACTTTTACCTAATATTTTGGTACCCAAGCTTCATCAGTTCTGAAGCATGCCTCCACTGTGATAAGTAATATTTTAATCCGTTATCTCTGTCTTAACGAAATCTGATTTCATTATTTGTAGCTTATCCATAAACAAGCTGATACTGTAGTTCTTTCTGGGGCTCATCTAATTGTTATTTTATGCTTCAACAAGTTAAAAGGAATATGTTTCTTTCCATGTTTTGTTTCCTTGGACTAACATTCGTTCATCACCTTCATCAGGGGATAAATTGTTTGCCTGCTGACCTTTTTAATCAATTTGAAATTCGTTGTTCCCGTGACATTCCTTCATACATGATCGATTTAAACCGACATAATACTGTTGAAGACATTTTCCTAACAGTAAGATAACGTCTGGTTTTTTGCAATCACTATCTTTTTTTGACCGAGTTTATAAATTATAGATGTCTGTTATTTTGTATCTCAATATATTCACTTTTTATGAATAGACATTATCAGTTACATAACTATCGGAAATGTATGTGTGGAACCATTTTTTCTTTTTCATTCTCTATCTTGATAGCACGCATAGTTTCCCTTCAGGATGTAAATAACCTTCAGGCTTCCAGACAATTTTTTTAGTAAACTACAGCAAAGAATTTTAAACTCCAACACCAACTGAAATTTAATTGACTCATGGTTTAGAAGAACTTGTTCTTCAGTACCAATTTAACTTCTGTTCCCGTATAGCAGACCGGGGCTTCGGGTCCTACATGCATACATAATCAGAGCGCAAATATGTTAAGCAATAACCGGTAAAGGCTACATACAATAGCAGCTTTTTGAATTTTTAATTTATCTTAGTGAACTATGTTTTCTGTTCCAATAACGTCACTAAGTTTATGCCTGTTACAAGTCCAATTTTATTATACAGCGTATTTTGACGATGTGCTACTTAAATTAATGACTACACTACAAGCACTACCAGATTCATACATATAAGATTAATATGATCGCACTTCATAGTTTAAACCCAAATTATAAGACTGTGGTTTACATCTCCATCAGGAAATATCATTTTACATAGGAAACATTCATTGATTTTGTTACAGTTATGATTCCTGAGAATTTAAGTCCATACTTTATGCCATGACTTTTTCAGGCGAGCTCTTTTCCCTTCTTCGAACAGTTATGATGTTTTCTATATTTTGTGACTGATGATATCCAATATCTGTTTGCATTATTTGTCAACCTTACCATGCTGGCGATTTCGCAAAACTGAATTCAATCATTACAACTGTGGTGCAATGTCTTTGGGCACTCATAACTGTGTTTGTTGTCTCTACTTATTTTAAATATTCCACTGAGTCATGGAGGAATAGAGACATCAGTGAACAAATATGACCAAAAACTACGACCATTTATTAACAAATATTGACATTTTTATGCACAATGACTATATTTAAGTGCAACTGTACAGCCCCAGAGGATGATGTTGCCGAAACTATATTTGTTCACTGAAGGCCTTACATATTGACAACACATGATGGTTATTGTCTGTTTGTACTGCAGTGGTAATAAATAAAAAGCCTGCTACTTAATACAATGATCATTTCAACAGAAAAAGTCGTAACTGAATCATTTGATTAATCCATCTAAATGAGCTAAATGAATCTGAAAATTGAAGAATATAAACTTTGGTCATAAGATCGATACCAAAATAAAAGTATGCTCCATACTGTCTTTTGAAACGTAGGTGTATTTAAGAGCGAAAAAAATGGGATGAATTCGGCCTTCATGCACAAAAAAGTTCATCTTCTACCCATGTTCCAATTTCTATTCCAGTATTTGAGATATTGTTCAAAATGAATTTAAAATCCAGAATTTGTCAAGATTGTAAAGCTAAATGCCATGATTTAAGAAACAAGTATATACAGCATTCAACAATAAGAAGAATACTTTATTTCGTATTTTTCCTAATTCTTGATGTTATAGAATTTAATTGTAGGGAAAGACGATAAGTGCACTGTCAGGTGCTCAGAAAGATGTTACTTTTCATTCATTTTCAAATACAAAACTTGATGCATTATCGTGTAACGTCACACACTTCCCCAAAATCAATAGCCTAGGGTTTGACGACTTTCGACATTGATGCTGACCTTGATAGTTTAACTGGACTCGCTGAGCTGAAGACGCCCGGTCAAGCATCCTCGCCATTTGGCACGCTATCGTGTTACGTTGCACTGCTCGTATTCGACTCTCTAGCCAGTTAATTGGAACGCATCGGTATCTTGGCACAACCACCCAAATATGCTATTCCATCCGACTACGCTATCGTGTTCTTCCTTGGTCTCGTACTCGTGGGTATATAACAAGTCCGAATAATTAGTGATTGGTCTTTGCGTCTGTCAAGTTCGCACCAGGACAAATCCTAAATTGGTGAGCCCGGCGTGATCACATATCCCGACCAATAACAAATATTGAATCGGTGAGCCTGTTCCATTTTATATTTGTTTATTGTTTTCATTTGGGCAACATTTATATATCCATTTACTACACTTTCTCATGTCCGACCACACTCCCAAGCTTATTCGTATTAAGCCGACCACGAACACGATCCAACTCGTGCCATATTGGCCAGACAATGCGGAAACGTGGTTTCTGTATGCCGAGGCCGATCTTCGAGAACAGGGCGTCTCAGATCCTCATTCTCGATTTCTTGCTGTCATACGGTCACTACCGCGAGAATTAAACAGGTATGTTACAGCACATATGTTTAATCCTGAAGTAAGTGATCCTTATGCACTTCTTAAGGCTGCACTCTTGAAGAAAAGCGATCTGACAGATCGCCAGCGCCTAGACGAATTACTTCGTAATATCGAGCTAGGCAGCCACTCAGCTACTGAAGTCCTCGCACGCATGCGAGAAGTGATCGGTGCACGAACATGCGACGATACCTTTTCCGAGAACTATTTCTCTCGAAACTACCACAACCGGTGCAAACCGTGTTAGTGACACTGCAGTCAGTCCCACTCGATGACCTGGCAGCCTCGGCAGATAAAATACTGGAGATTTCCAGCAGACCCGTCTCCAACGTATATTCTGTCTGCGACAAACCAGAAAGCCAGGATTCATAGGTGACCAAGCTGTGCAACTCTGTTAAACAGTTGCTACGATCTCGAAGTCCTAGTTCACGTAGAACTCCACAGAAACGCGTCTTAGTGCATCGCAGCAAATCGCGTGGTAGCCCCAAAACCAAACCTAACAGGGTGGAAAACCCTGAATGGTGCTGGTTTCATAATACTTACGGAGACGAAGCCAGAAAATGTCGGAAACCATGCCGTTTTAACACGGACACAAACTCGGGAAACGGTCACGCCGGCATGCGTTCACGGCAACCGTAGCCGGCGGAAACAGCCGTTTGCTCTACGTCACCGATATAAAAACGAAAGTCCGCTACCTCGTCGACACCGGCGCAGAAGTTAGCGTTCTTCCAGCAACGACAAAGGAGCGTCATCTCGACCCATCCTTCAATCTTCAAGCAGCCAACGGCAAGGCAATCGCGACATTCGGGAGACGGTATGCCTACCTCAACTTAGGTTTACGCAAACCTATCCACTGGATTTTCCTCCTGGCTGACGTCTCTATGCCCATCATTGGCATAGATTTGCTAAACCATTACGATCTACTCGTAGATGCTCGCCGTCGACGACTGATAGATAACAACACAAAGTTATCTATTGGCGGCACCACCTATGTAGGTCCGAGTTTAGCCATCGTTAGAACCAAACAATCAGGCGACGCGTCCTACCAAGCAGTTTTGGAGAAATATCCAGAGTTGCAACAACCGAAGCACACTCTTCCGTGCATAACCAGCAATGTTATGCATCACGTCACAACCACAGGTCCACCTGTGGCATCCAAAGCGCGCCGTCTAGCCCCCGATAAGCTCAAACGGCGAAAAGCGAATTCGACCACATGCTCGAACTGGGCATTATCAGACCGTCAAACAGTCCTTGGGCATCGCCATTGCACATGGTTCCCAAAAAGGATAGCAACGACTGGCGTCCAACCGGTGATTACCGAAGGCTTAACGCCAAAACAACTCCGGACTGCTACCCGATACCTCACGTTTACGACTTGACTGCAACCTTATGCGGAATGAACATTTTCTCCAAAATCGACTTGGTCAAAGCGTACAACCAGATACCTATGGCAGCAGAAGATATCGCGAAAACAGCCATTATTACTCCTTTTGGCCTGTTTGAATTCCTGCGCATGCCATTTGGTCTTCGGAATGCAGCACAAACATTCCAACGCTTTATGGACGATGTCTTCCGTGGTCTGAATTTTGTTCATGTCTACATCGATGACTGTCTAATTGCGAGTCCAGATAAGGAAACTCACCTTAAACATTTGGACCTCGCATTCGAAAGACTCAAAAAACATGGCATCACAGTCAACTTACAGAAGTGTGAAATAGGAGTTGAATCACTCAGCTTCCTTGGGCATACCATTGACAACAAAGGTATACGCCCATTGAGAGATAAAGTGGCGGCTATCACAAACTATCCAGAGCCGACCACTGTGAAACATCTCCGCACTTTCAATGGCCTGGTAAGTTATTACCGAAGGTTTATCCCTAACTGTGCCTCTGTCATGAGACCACTAACAGATCTACTTCGAGGAACTGCGAAGTTCGTGTCTCTGGACAACGCGGCTAGACTTGCTTTCTCTAAAGTCAAGGAAGCCATTTCGAACGCAACCATGCTTATGCATCATGACCCCAATGCTCCTTGAGTATTGCTGTTGATGCATCTGATTCAGCAATTGGAGCAGTTTTGCAACAGTTGACTGACAACCAGTGGCAACCGTTAGCCTTTTTCTCGAGGCGGCTGCAAGACGCGGAAACAAGATACAGTACATTTGGTAGGGAACTCCTAGCCATGTACTGTTCTGTACGCCATTTTCGACATTCTGTGGAAGGTCGTGATTTCATTATTTTCACAGACCACAAACCGTTAACGTTTTCCCTCAGCTCGGCGTCTGACAAATACTCCCCTCGTGAGTCGCGACAGCTGGATTACATTTCCCAGTTCACGTCAGACATCCGCCACATTTCTGGAGCAAACAACTCCGCAGCCGACGCACTATCTCGAATAGCTTCGATAAACTATATCGAGGGTATTGATCTCGTTGAACTAGCTCGGCGTCAAAAGGAAGACCTTGAGCTGCATCATGAGTTGTCGTCCACAACTCTCAAACTGCGACTTTGTCCGGTTGGATCAGACAAGGATACAATTTTGTGCGATGTCTCTGCTAGTCAACCACGCCCAATAGTTCCGAAGAGTTGTCGACGCAACGTCTTCAATACGTTGCACAAACTCTCTCATCCAGGTGTACGAGCCACCATTAGGCTTATCGCACAACGTTTCTGCTGGCCTGGGATGAACAAAGACGTTAAGGAGTGGGCCCAGTCGTGCTTAGCTTGTCAAAAGTGTAAAGTCACGCGACACACGAAAAGCCCTTTAGGCTCATTTCTAGCCCCAGACATGCGTTTCGACCACGTCCATATAGATATTGTAGGACCCCTACCAGAATCTAATGGATGTACCTACCTTTTCACTGTGTTGATCGTTTCACACGATGGCCGGAAGCAGTACCCATTAAGATATTACTGCCGAAACAGTTGCTCGTGTTTTCGTCGAAAGATGGATCGCGAACTTCGGATGTCCATCTTACGTCACAACCGACCGTGGGCGCCAATTTGAGTGTGGATTATTTCACGCTCTAACGGCACTTTTAGGTTGCACTCGGTTCCGAACGACAGCCTACCATCCACAAGCAAATGGCATGGTAGAGCGTTTCCATCGACAGCTGAAAGCTTCCCTTTCAGCTACAAACATACCTCAGTGGACCGAGGCTCTGCCTCTAGTCCTACTAGGTATTCGTAACGCGTTGAAAGTTGATGCTGGATGCACTCCTGCAGAACTCGTCTATGGGACCACTCTTCGCCTACCAGGTGAGTTTGTTTCCCCTTCAACTTTCAAACATGTTTCCGACAGGGCATCTTACGTGACTAGGCTTACAAACGCAATGCGTTCAGTTAGGCCTTCTCCGATTAGACCGCAAACGACTGATGTTTTCGTTCACCCCAGTTTACAAAAGACATCACACGTGTTTGTTCGCCACGACGCCGTTCGTCG